TTTCTGTGTGCGGGGTGAGGGGAAGTGAGGGGAAGTGAGGGGTATGAGGGGAGGGAGAAGGGAGAAGGGAGTGGAGGGAGATGAAAGGGGAAGTGAGGGGAGAAGGGAGAAGGGAGTGCAAGGAGTGGAGGGAGATGAGAGGGAGAGTGACAAAATGGAGGAGTGAGGTGAGAGGGGAGAGGAGTGAGAGGAGAAGAGGGAGAGGACAGAGTGAGGGGAAGCGAGGGGAGAGGGTGAAGAGGGAGAAGAAGGGAGAGGGAGTGGAGGGAGATGAGAGGGGGAGTGACAAAATGGAGGAGATGGAGAAGAGGGAGAGAGAGAGGGAGTGAAAGGATAGAAGAGTAAGGGGATAGAGGAGTGAGGGGAAGTGAGGGGAGAAGGGAGAAGGGAGTGGAGGGAGATGAGAGGGGGGGGTGACAAAATGGAGGAGTAAGGTGAGAGGGGAGAAGAGAGGAGAGGATAGAAGAGTGAGGGGAGTGGGAAGAGGGGAGAGGAGGAGGAGGGGGAGTGAGGGGAGAGGGAGAAGGGATGGAGGGAGATAAGAGGAGTGACAAAATGGAGGAGTGAGGTGTGAGGGGAGAAGAGGGGAGAGGAGAGGAGTGTGAGGATAGAAGAGTGAGGGGGATAAGAGGAGTGAGGGGAAGTGAGGGAAGAGGAGAGGAGGAGTGGGGAAAAGTGAGGGGTGAGGGTGAAGAAGGAGAAGGGGAAGTAAGGGGATCGAGAAGTGGAGGGGAAGCGAAGGAAGAGGGGATTGGAAGGAGAGGAGAGAGATAGAAGAGTGAGGAGAAGTGAGGTGAGGGGGATAAGGGAGTGGAGGGTGAGAGGAAAGGAGTGAGGGGGAGTGAGAGCATAGAGGAGTGGAGTGGAGGGAAGGAGTTAAGGGAAGACGAGTAAAAGAGTGGAATGAGGGGAGTGGAGAAATTGGGGATAAGGGACCAGAGGAAGACAGGAGGGGGAGTAAGGGGAATGAAGGGAGAGAGAGACGAGGAGCGAGGGAAAAGAGGGGAAAAGTAGACTAAGAAAACGAGTGATGAGGCGAAGAGGGGGAGAGAGATAAGGTGGGGGGAAGGGGAGAGGGGAGAGAAGCCGTAAAACCCAGAGAGGGGAAAAGAAGGGAGGATGGGGAGAGGGTGAAGACAGATGCCTAACCAAAGGAGAAAGGAGGGAGGAGGACGGAGGACTCGAAGGGGAAACAGGGAAATGTGAGAAGGTGAGGGGAGAAATTCACAAGAGAAGGGGTAGGGGATAGGGGAGGAGAGAGGAGAGAGGTTCGCCAAAGGAAGGGGGAGAGGGCAGGGGAGGGAGAGGAGAGGGAGAGAGGTTCATAAAGAGAAGGGGGAGAGGGAGAGGGAGAGGAGAGAGGTTCATAAAGAGAAGGGGGAGGGAGGGAGCAAGGGAGACATTAGATAGGTAAGCGAGAGGGGGCAACGCTGGGAGAAGGGGAGGGGGGGGGGAGAGGGGAGAAGGGGGGGTATATGTGTGGGAGTTTTTTTTCTTCTTCTTCTTCTCTTTTAAATATTCTTATCTTTAAATTTATCTCTCGCTTTCTTTTCACCAGTTCTGTGTACTTTTTTTTTTACATTGTCATTACTTACGCTAACTCCAATAAATAGTTTTTTTCCCCCCATTCAGAGAAATCTTGATTTTTATTTATATTTTCATCGTTCCATATTTAAAATGATTTTTTTCCCTCCTCTCTTATCTCTCTTGAATTATCAACTCCGTCCTTTAATACTCAATTTAGCCCTATTGTTCTATTGATGTTTTTACTACGATGCCGCAACAAGAACCATTACAGTAATTCGAAGCATTTTAACCGAGTTTTATTTTTTTTTTCGGTTTCCATTTCTGTTTATTCAGACACATCACTCCCAATTATCACATTACTAATTAATCCGATCCTTCATGACCGCCACTCACTCATATTACCGTCTCTCTCTCTCTCTCTCTTCGTTTTTTTTTTTTTTTTTTTTTTTTTCCTATTCATATCGCACCGTCTCAGCGTGTCCCCCCCTCCTCTCCCTCCCCATCCCCTCTACCTCCATCCCTTCCCCCCTTCCCATCCCGCGCGGTTCTCTGAGTCATGCGCGTTTGTGTTGTCACGTGATGTCAGCATTCGGAGACGTCGATCTTTGGTGGCACGCGGTGGATAGATGGAGGGGGGGGGATGAGGGGGAGGGGGGACTTTCAAGCTGGTGGTGACGTCACAGCCGCGGGCCCTGACGTCTCCCCGCCGCTGCATCTGCGCCATAAACATGAGGGCGACGCCAGCCTTCTGCCAGCCGCGCCGGGACCCAAATCGGGGCAGGGAGACATCAAAGGGCTGCATCTCGGGGCTCTAATTCAAGTCGCCGGAGGAGGTTTTTGTGCGTCGCGTCGCTTCTTCTACTCTGCCATTTTCTTCTACTCTGGTTTCTTCTGTTTCTCGTTCGCTTTTGCCCATTTTTTTCTTTTTTTTTAATTTTTGGTATGCTTCTTTCTTTCATATTATTAATTATTTTTTAATTCTTTCTTCGTTTGGTTCTTTTCCTCCTTTTTTATCTTCCTGCTTCTCTTGCTCATCCTCTATCATCTTCTCCGTCTTCTCCTTCTCTTTCTTCTCTCTCTATACCTAAAGCCCCCCCCCCCTTCGTTCTTTCTCAGAGGGAAAGAGGGAGAGGAAACTCCCTCCTCTTCCCCCCTCTCCTTCCCACTTTCTATATTTCCTCATTCCTCTCTCTCCTCTATTCCCACCACCTTTCTCTCTTCTATTTGCTCCATTCCTCTCTTCCCACCTTTCCCTCCCTTCCCTAATCCGTCATTCCTCTCTTGCCCTCCTCCCCTCCTTCCTTATCCTTCTTACATTTCCCTCCCTTTTCCTCTCCCTCCCTCCCATCCTCTATTTCCGTCTTTCCTCTCTTTCCCTCTTCCTCTCTTCCTCCTCCCTTTCCCGTCTTCCTTCTCGTCTTTCCTCTCCCTTTCCTCTCCCTCTGCCCTCTATTTCCGTCTTTTCTCTCTTTCCCTCTCTCTTCTCCTCCTTTCCTCTATTTCCCTTCCTTTTCCCCTCCCTCTCTCCTTCTCTATTTCCGTCTTTCTCCTTTTCCCTCTCCTCGTCTCCCTTTCTCTCTTTCCTCTCTTTCCCCTCTCCCTCTCTCCCTTCCGTATTTTCTCTTTCCTCTCTCTCCTCTCGTCCCTTCTCTATTCCGTCTTTCCTCCCTCTCGTTCTCCATGTCCCTTTTCCTCTTTCCTCTCTTTCCCTCTCCCTCTCTCCCTTCCTCTATTTCCGTCTTTCCTCTCTTTCCCTCTCCCTCTCTCCCTTCCTCTACCTTTTCTCTTTCCCCTCGCCTCTCTCCCTTCCTTCTAACTTTCTTTTCCCTCTCCCTCTCTCCCTTCCTCTATTTCCGTCTTTCCCTCTCCCTCTCTCCGCCATTCTCTACTTCTTCTTCCCTCCCTCTCTCCCTTCCTCTATTCTCCTTTCTCCCTCTCCCTCTCCCTCTCTCCTTACCTTATCCATCTTTCCCTCTCCCTCTCTCCATTCCTCCACTTTCTCTCCCTCTCCCTTCTCCTCCTCGTACTTCTCCTTCTTTCCCTCTCCTCAGCTACCTGTCTGCACTGTCTCTCCTTCCCTCTCCCCTCTCCCCTTCTCTTGCTTCCATCTTTCCTCTCGCTCCTTCTCCACTTCCTCTAGCTCTCTCTTTCCTCTCCCTCTTCCTTCCTCTACTTTCTCTTCTGATCCCTCTCCCTCTCCGCTTCCTCTACTTCTCTCTTTCCTCTCCCTCTCTCTCCTCCCACTTCCATCTTTCCTCTCCTCTCTCCCTTCTCTCTATTCTTCTTCTTCCCTCACCCTCTCCCTCTTCTCTCCTACTTCTCTCTTTCCGTCTCTTTCCCTTCACTTTCCCTTCCGTCTTACTTCTCTCTTTCCCGTTTCTCCTCTCTGTCCCTTCGTTCTACTTCCCTTCTCTCTCCCTCTCCCTCTCTCCCTTCCTCTTACTTCCATCTCTCTCTCTCTCTCCTCCTCTCTCGTGCCGCCTTCCTCGTCTGCTCTTCTCCTTCTCCCCTCCTCTCTACTTCTCATTTTCTCGTCCCTTTCCATTCTCTATCTTCTTTCTTTCCTCTCCCTCTCTCCCTTCCTCTACTTCCATCTTTCCCTCTCCCTCTCTCCATTCCTCTACTTCTCTCTTTCCCTCTCCCTCTCTCCCTTCCTCTACTTCTCTCTTTCCCTCTCCCTCTCTCCCTTCCTCTATTTCCCTCCTTCCTCTCTTTCCCTCCCTTTCCCCCCGTCTCGCCCCGCGCTGAAAGACGTCACTTTCGCCTCAGATGTGGTCGCGAGTGTTCACGGGCGGCTGGCGGGGGCGTCTTGTCTCGTGGACAGCGGGCGTAAAAGGGGGAGGGAAGGGGAAGGGGAGGAAAGGTAGGGGAAGGGGATAGGTTGAAGGGGAAGGGGAAGGGAAGGGAAGGGGGGAAGGGTGGAGACATCTCTTTCTTTTTGCATAAGTTGTGTGCACACAGACAAACTCTCTCTCTCTTCTCTCTCTCTCTCTCTCTCTCTCTCTTTTCTCTCTCTCTCCTCTCTCTCCTCTCTCTCTCTCTCTCTCTCTCTCTCTCCTCTCTCTCCTCTCTCCCTCTCTCTCTCTCTGCTCTCTCTCTCTCACTCTCTCTCTCCTCTCTCTCCTCTTCCTCTTCCTCTCCTCTCTCCTCCCCCCCCTCTGCCCTCCTCTCTCCTCGTCTCCCCCCTCTCCGCTCTCCTCTGTCTCCTCTCCCCGTCTCCCCTCTTCCCTCTTCCCTCTCTCTCTCGGACACACGCGCGCTATAATTATTCCGCGCATCGCCTCAAAATACACGCCCACTAAATCTCTTTCCTCACGTGCCTCTCCCTCTCGACCCCCATCACGGGCAGGCAGCCTCGAGTTCTTCCTCTCGGTGTCTCGTCTGCCAGACACTCTTTTTTGCGTCTTGTCTGCTGCGTGTTCCTTATATACTACCCCGGTCCCCCCTCTCCCCTTTGCTTCCCTCTTTGACGC